CACAAAAAAGAAGTCCCAGAATTAGAGGAAAGAGAAAAGGACAAAAAAATTTTTTTTAAGAAATAATAGGTGAAAACTTCCCTATTTGGTGAACATTTTCTTACAGATTCAAGAAATTCAACAAATGTCAAGAAGGATAATCAAAAAGAGATTTGCATTTAGATACATTGTAGCAAACTGGTATGAGAAATAGACTAAAAGAAAATCTTAAAACAGCAAGAGAAAAATGATTCATTACTTATAAGAAAACTAAATTAAGATTAATAATTGAGTTCTCATTAGATAGTGAAGGACAGAGGCAAAAGGATAACATATTTAAAGTGATGAAAGAAAAAATTTTCCTAACCAAGAATAAAGCAAAACTGTTCTTCAAAGATAAAGACAAAATAAAGCCAGTCCAGATAAATAAAGGCTGAGAGAATTTGTTGTTCACAGAACTATCTTACAAGAAATTACTAAAGTCCTTCAGGCTGAAAGGAAATGATGCTTAATGTCAATTCAAATTCCTAAGAAGAATAAAGACAGCTAGAAATGGTAAACATGTGTGTAAATCAAAAAATATTCTCTAAATATGCTTTTTCATATCTTCTCTTAACTTCTTTACAAGGCCCAAGATTGTATAAAAAATTATAGTATTGTTTTACTGCTTTTATATATAGATGTAATATATGTGACAGTAATACCACAAAGGATGGGAAAGGAAGAAGATATATTGGAAAAAATCTTTTTTTTATTTTTTGAGGATTAAGTTAGTATTATACTGAAGTAGGTTTTGATTAGTTAAGATGTATGTTATAGCCCTATGAAAAATAAAATATATATATCTGGTCTCTGCCATCATTTTCTGGCACACAGCTCCTAAAATCCTTGGAATCTCTGAAACGGTGGGTCTTTGTGTATGCTAATGAGATGACTAGAGGCTGGGGGCTTCTGGATAACCTCAGGATGGGGTTCATTGCCAGGGGAACCAAACATGTGATTAGAGAGTTCAAATCCAACCCCTTTTGAATCCAAGCCCTAGATCTCCAGGGAAGGGGAAGGGGTTGAAAGTTGAGTCAATTACCAATTGCCAATGATTGAATCAATGATGACTATAAATGAAGCTTCCTTAAAGATCTCTCAAGTACAGGGTTTGGAGAGCTTCCAGTTGGGGGAATGTGTAGAGAAGACAGAAGGGGCATGGAAGCTCTGTCTCCTTCCCCACACACTACCCTATGCTCCTCTTCCATCTGGCTATTTCTGAGTTGTATCCTTTTATCATAAACTGGTAATCTAGTAGGGAAACTGTTTTCCTGAGTTCTGGGAGATCATTCTATCAAATTATTGAACCCAAGGGTGGGTGTGGGAATCTCCAATTTATAGTCTGTCGGTCAGAAGCATAGGTGACAGCTTGGACTTACCATTGGGGTCTGACATGTGTGTGGAAATGGGCAGGGGTGCCGTCTTGTGGGACTGAGACTTTAGTCTGCAGCAACCCCAAGTAAATAATGTTCTAATTGAACTGAATTGTAGGACACCTAGTTGGAGACCACAGAGAATTGGAGAATTGCTTGTTGTGGGAAAAACCTCCACACATCTGCTGTTAGAAGTACTGGAAGTAGAATGTTGAGAAGAGAAAGTTCTCTTTCCTTTTCAAGTCCCTAAAATAGCTACTAGGAAAATAACTTAAAAAAATAATAGTCACAAGAACAGATCCATAGACCAATGGAACAGACCAGAGAGCCCTGATATAAACCCAACCATATATTGTCAATTAATATATGATAAAGGAGCCATGGACATACAATGGGGGAATGACAGCCTCTTCAACAACTGGTGTTGGCAAAACTGGACAGGTACATGCAAGAGAATGAAACCGGATTATTGTTTAACTCCATACACAAAAGTAAACTCGAAATGGATTAAAGACTTGAATGTAAGTCATGAAACCATAAAACTCTTAGAAGACAACATAGGCAAACATCTCTTGAATATAAGCATAAGCAACTTCCTCCTGAACCCATCTCCTCGAGAAAGGGAAACAAAAGCAAAAATGAACTCATGGGACTACATCAAACTAAAAAGTTTTTGTATGGCAAAGGACACCATCAACAAAACAAAAAGGCATCCTACAGTATGGGAGAATATATTTGTAAATGACATATCTGACAAGGGGTTAACATCCAAAATAAATAAAGAATTTACACACCTTAGCACCCAAAAAGCAAATAACCTGATTAACAAATGCACAGAGGATATGAAGAGACAGTTCTCCAGAGAAATTCAGATGGCCAACAGACACATGAAAAGATGCTCCACATCACTAATTATCAGGGAAATGCAAATTAAAACCACGATGGGATATCACCTCACACCAGTAAGGATGGCCAGCATCAAAAAGACTAAGAACAACAAATGCTGGCGAGGATGGGGAGAAAGGGGAACCCTCCTACACTGCTGGTGGAAATGTAAGCTAGTTCAACCACTGTGGAAAGCAATATGAAGGTTCCTCTAAAAACTTAAAATAGAAATACCATTTGACCCCGGAATCCCACTCCTTCGAATATACCCAAAGAATACAATTTCTCAGATTCAAAAAGGCTTATGCACCCGTATGTTCATCGCAGCACTTTATACAATAGCCAAGACATGGAAGCAACCGAAGTGTCCATCAGTAGATGAATGGATAAAGAAGATGCGGTACATATACACAATGGAATACTATTTGGCCATAAGAAAGAAACAAATCCTACCATTTGCAACAACATGGATGGAGCTGGAGGACATTATGCTCAGTGAAATAAGCCAGGTTGAGAAAGACAAATGCCAAATGATTTCCCTCATTTGTGCAGTAGAACAATGAGGCAAAACTGAAGGAATAAAATGGCAGCAGACTCAGAGACTCCAAGAATGAACTAGTGGTTACCAAAGGGGAGGGGTGTGGGAGGGTGGGTGGGGAGGGAGAGAGAGGGGGACTGAGGGGTATTATGTTTAGTACACATGGTGTGGGGGATCACGGGGAGAACAGTGTAGCACAGAGAAGGCACATAGTGGATCTCTGGCAACTTGCTGCACTGATGGACAGTGACTGCATTGGGGTCTTGGTGGGGACTTGATAATATGGGTAAATGTAGTAACCACATTGTTTTTTCATGTGAAACCTTCATAAGACTGTATATCAATCATACTTTAATAAAAAATTTTTTTTTAAATAGGGGAAGAAACCTCCCAGCTAATGTCATATTTAATGGCAAAAAAGTACACCTTCCTCCTTAGACTAGGATCAAAGAAAGGATGTATGCTTCTGCCATATCTATTCCATACTACTGAGTGAAATGATGTGAAATAGATTGGTTAATTTTGCATGTTATTATGTATTATATGTATTATTAAATAGTAATAAGAATAAATTTAACAGAAGAAATGTAAGACTTCTAAAAATTAAAAAAAAATAAAAATAATAATAGCAAAAAAAAAATCACAGAGGAATAAAAAAGGTACACTAAAACATAAAGATAACCTAAGCTTCCATGTTAAGGAATGAAAGAAAAAAGAGCAAAATAAAATCAAAGCAGGCAGAAGAAAGGATATAAAACACTAAAGCAAAAATCAATGAAATAAAAAACAGAAAAACAATGGATACAATCAATGAAGTTAAAAAGTAGCTCTTTGAAGACACAAATTACCAAAATCAGGAAGAAAGAGGGGACATCTTTATAAACCTTACAGAAATTTAAGAGTTATAAGGGAATATTATGAACAACTTTATCCCAACAGATTAGATAATTTATATGAAAGGGGAAAATTCCTAGGAAGATGCAAATTCTTAGTAAGATACAGATTCATAAAAACAAATTAAATTCCTAGAAAGACAAAATTAACCCTTCTCCCAAAATAGAAAATCTAAATAGGCCTATAACAAATAAAGGAATTGAATTAGTAATTAAAAGTTTCTCCATAAACAGAAGGTCCATTTGACTTTACTGGTAAATCTGAACAAATATTTAAAGAAAAAGTAACAGCAATCACTTGCATATATTTACAGAAAATACAGGGGGATATACTTCCTAACTTATTCCTTGAGACCAGTGTTACCCTGATACAAATATAAGTGAAAAGAAGACCACAAATATCCCTCATGGACATGAGTATAAAACTCTTTTGCAAAATATTAGCAAACCAAATTAAACAGCATATCAACTGAATATCTGAAAATCAACTAATGCAATACACCATATTAACAGAATAATATAAAAACTACATGATCACCTCAGTAGGCATAGAAAAACATTTGAAAAAATCTAATACACACTCTTCATAGAAACCCTGAACAAACTAGATATAAAAGGGAATGTAACCTCATAAAGGATATCTACAAAAATCCTGAAGAAAACACCATGCTTAATAACTGAATACTTTTCCTCCTAAGATTTGAAACAAGACAAGGATGTCCAGTCTTATAATTTCTACTCAATACTGTATTCAAGATTCTGGCCTGTTCAAGAGAAAAAAGATGTAAAAGCATCTAGTAAGCAAATCCAAAAAGGCATAAGTAAACTTGTTTTTATTCACAGATAACATATACTACATGTAAAAATTTCTAATGTATCCACCCACCCAAAACATCTATTAGAATAAATGATTTAGCAAAGTTGCAGGACACAAGATCAATGTAAAACAGTAGTGGTACTAATGCCACTTCATTTCTAGGTGCTTTTCCTGTCCTTCAGCTAAGAGACTTTTCTGATCTCCAAAGATTGGTACCATAATCATTCATTTAAAAAGACAAGGGATAATTCAGATGTTAGAAATTCAGTTTTATAAAATTACTACCTGAAAACTAGTATTCCCCATTCTCATGTTTGCAGAGCCTGTGCAGAGACATGAACAATTGTCAAAATTATCATTACCAACAGCTGGTCTATGGCATATTTAGAGGCCAGTGGCAACATTAAACATCTTCCCCCACATTCCCAAACACAGGCTTCTGAAAGAGTCTGTGATCTCTTTGTGAGTCTTACCTTTCTGTATGTAGGTTTCAGTGGCTGCAGAACATCCCCAAAAGTTTTGCCTGTTGGTGCTCTGTCCACAGCATTAGGAATTAATGGGAGCATCAGTTGTTTGAAAAATGGAGGCTCAGGACCACTGCTCAGGTTGGCTACTGTGTCCTGAAACAGAGCGTTTGCTTAAGAAGCACACCACACAGAGTCTAAGACCATTTTCCAAGGCCCCCAACCCCAGAAATGCCTTCATTAAAGAAAACACGTATACACACACACACACACACGCACACACACACACTCCAAGAGCTAACGACTTTAACAAAATGTGACAAGAACCATGCTAAAACGTGAGTCTCAATGTCCATAACTTACACTTTTGTCACTAGAAGAAAATTTTGGTCATAGGCAACATACTTCACTCCTCCAGGCAGTATTGTAGTCCAGTGATCAGAGCATGAGCTTGGAAGCATGCTACACAGCTTTAGATTCTGGGACAGCCATTGTTTAATTGTGTGCCTTTGGACAGGAGCCTAACATATAAGCCTTTGTAACATGACACTAAAACTATTCTTTAAATTTTAAAAAATGTAGAGCCTTTATCCAGAGTCATTACCAAGTTTTTTCCCTCTAAATTTGAGAACTGTGCCAATTAAAAGAATATACTAGGTATATTTTTAATTTAAAAGTTAAGATCAGACTATATCTTGACTGGCTTAATCTGTTTTTCACAAAATTTGCCACCTTCAATAGTATCATCAAAATGCTAATCTCAAATTTTACATAGCCCTTCATATGTATTTAATGTGCCATAACCCTCACTTTAATCTTTACAACAACCACATAATCTGTTATCCTTCCTATTTTGCAAATGAGAAAATAGGCTTGGAGATAGTCAGTGTTTTTTTTTTTTCAAGATTCCATAGCTGTCTTAGATGTATGACCATAAAATTGGATATGAACAAATTTCCACAAAATGAATCTCATTTTTCTCCCTACACATCATTATAAAATTTAAAGAATCTATTTTCCTGGGAGGAGATAACGACCTATGATTGTATTGAAAGTTAACAGCAGTTTAACTCTAGGGACGGATTGTAGGTTTACACTTTTCTGTATAATCTGAGTATTCTACAAATAGTTATAGCTTTTATGATGAAAAATAAAAATAGTCCTACTTTGAAAAAAAAAGTATCAGAGCTAAAACTGAGAGGAACATTACGATAGACAATAATCAGGTAATTAAGATATACCCTAAGTAAACACCTTCTGCTAAAACTTCAAACACACAATCAGCAAGTAATTACATGGAGGCATATGATATTGCCAATATTCAACTATTTTGCCCTAAAGAAACAGAAATTTTATTCGTTCCAATTTAATATATCCAAGCTCTTACTTGAAAAGGGCATTATTGTCTTTGCTATTCTACAATTTATTCACAACTTTTATTGGGGCTTATATGGTATTATGTTAAGGATCTGCTTATTATTTTAGGCTCTTTACCCTGCTTGTGGAGTAATCCTCTGACACTAGAGCACAGCTTCGTTAATAACTGTATCACAAAGGAAGATTTCCACAAGTGGAACTCCTTTAAGTAAACTTGTTTAGGTATACATAATTTAAGTAGATACAATGTGTACATCTACCCAGTACTGTTATACTTCATTAGATTGAAGCCCCTATTGATGATAACAACTATTGTTAGCTTTTAACCACCAAGAAAGAAAAATATGCTACTAATTATAATTCTTCTCATTAGAAGATATATCCCAGTTTCAGGGATGTTATAATACAGTGATTGGGCATCTCACAGTTGATGACTCACCCAACTTGTGAAATGATTGGAGAGACTCTGGACAGGATTAGAGAATATTGCTTTCATTCCCAGTAACAGTTATAGTAAGCCTGGTCATTTATCACCTCTGCACCTATTTCCTCATCTGAAAAATGGGAAGAAAGGATGCCTCCATACTTCACGTGATGATTGTGAGGATAATATGAGACGGTATGTATGAAAAGCTGTCACCACCATAAGATCTGAACTGAATCTAAATATATTACCAGTTTCATTTCTTAGAGATACCACATAGCTATAACTTTTTAATGTAAATTTTTACAAAGAAACCAAACCCTCAAAGCTAAAGTTCATAGCTTTGCTTCCTTGCATCTCCCCACGCCGGAGACACACATGCCCACAGTGTTTGGTTACCGTTGCAATGGCCTTAGCAAGGACTCTGAAGAGCTTGATGTACGCAGACAGAGTATGCGGCCCATAAATCGTGGATGCTGCCTCATACCGCTGAACCTGCAGGAGAGGCAGAGCAGAGTGGCACACTGTGCAGCATATGTCAATCCATTTAAAGAGATGCTGTATCTTAGGTGAGGTGTGACTGACTCTTGGACATCTACCCTAATTCAAACCCATGTACTATTGTATAGCAACTGTTCTTCAATAAAAACAATAAAAAATAAAAAAAGATTAATTATGGCAAAGGAAGGTAGGCATTTCCACTTACCAGCTTAAGTAAATGGCTCCCACCAATTACTTAAAGGCACTACTTAAAGACAGTGGGTTTTCTTGGTTTATGCCATTTGGACAGTCAGTCCATTTAATCCAAAAGAGAGTAACAGCTCCCAGGCTTATGTCTATCTTAGTACTTGCAACATAATGTTTTCCCCCAAGGGGTATAACAAGGGAGGAAAAAAAACCAGGAAAAATGATAGTATTAGTAATTCCTGGATAAACAGGGTCTGGAGATGGCATTTAACCCATCATAGTTATAAATAGAACCAAATACATCTCCTTTACCTGAGTTACAAGCCTCTGTTTATTCCATGGGAACCTCAAACTCATCAAATCTAAAACGGAACTTGCCACTCCAAGTATACCAGCTTTCTTCACGGCCTTCTCCATCTCGGTGAGTGCCTTCCCCCTAGTCTCCCATGCTGGGATCACCCGGCAGCCAACTTAAACACCCCTCTCTCCCCCTCATCCTATTTGTAAGCCTCCAAGTCATCATTCCTTAAAATCTCTTGAATTCTTTCATTTTCCTCTGTCTCTACTGCTTTTACCTCAGTCAAACCCATAGCTCTCACCAGATGGTAACAAAGCTCCCTCATTGGTTCTCCACCTCCATGCTTGTCCTTACAGTTCATTTTCTGCACTGCCATTTTAATGACCTTCCTAAATTACAAATTTGATCAGAACGTTCCTTTCTTTGAATTCTACTGCAGTTCCCCAAAACCTTCCTTTTTGAGTCAAAGCTCTGCAGCATAGCGTAACATCTCTATTAACGAACCCCTGCCTCCTACTGGTATCCCATCTCCTCAGGACGGGCATTCCATGGCACTCAACTAATTATGGCCCCTTAAATGTACTACATCAGCCCCCCTGACCTTTGCATACATAGTTCCCTATATAGAACACCTTCCCTAACTTTTATTTGCCTAATTAGCCCTTTCTCATTCTCAAGAATTCAGACAGATATTACCTCTTCCCAATTATCTGTCAGTCCCCATCCTCAAATACACAGGCTAGATTGGTACTTTCTCTTTATTTTCATATCACCTCGTGCAGCATCCCTTTCACAGAAATGTAATAATCTGCCTTCTTCTCTGTCTTTCACTACACTATAAATTCTAGTAGTTTTGAGGGCAGGGACAGATTCTTGTTCATTCTTATGCCCAGATAGTGGCTAATACAGTATCTATTACAATCCATTATCTGTTTAATGAATGAGTGAATCGATTAATTAGCTAATTAATTAATACTAATCCTCGCAGCAGCATGTCTCTGAACCAGGAGCCAAGTCAACAGGAGTTCCTAACCTGATGTGAACCATGGACTCCTTTGGCAGTTCTGTTGAAGTCTATGGACCCCTCTCAGAGTAATGCTTCCAAATGCATAAAAAAAGTACATGGGTTGACAAAGGAAATTGATGCCATTGAAATAAAGTAATTAGAAAATAATAAAGCAGTTTTGCAATAAAGTAATGTTGGGCTTCTTTATTATGCTAGTGAATAACAAGATTTAGGAGCAGATCTAATCACTACCGTGATTTTAAAACAGCTATGAGAGAAAAAGATATTTCCAAATCTGCAATAACTGTATATGATATGAAAAATATCTGCGATTCTTACTGATGTCAAAGTCAGAGGTGCTGCTAATATTATTGCTGTTTGTTGTGTGCATTCACAACTGAGGGAAATGTTAAATCATGGCTATAGAAAAATGAAAAAAATGGATAAATGAAAAATTATCCCACCCAGATTTACCCCAATTAAGAAGCTTTATTCAACAGGATTTCATAGAAGGCAGGAACCTTCAGTAAAATCAACAGAGGGCAACAGGCAGTTTCTACAGCTGGTATCACTGACAATTTGTCAAGGTATTACAAGGCCATTTGCATGCCTCAGTAAGGACCACCAAGATCTATCAGCAGATACATTAGAAGCCATTAACTGCAGTACTCAAGACTGTCTTCACGTTTTTAACTACTATTGCTAAAAGATACTTGTGCTACTTTCTGTACTATTTATAAACAATGAAACATTATTAGCCCACAGTCTCCCCTAAATTCTCTAGGACTCTGTTTCTTCATGTACATCATGAATATACTACTACTCCACCCCAGGGCTTATTGTGAGGACTACTTAAAACCACATTTGCAAGATGCTTAGCTAGGGCATTCAATAGCTATTGAGTAGGGGTGTTCCCAGGTTCTACAGAAACTGAAGGCACCAAGAGAAACACGGTAGAGTTATGAATGTTGTATGTTACAACCCAAGCTTATTACCAGTGGCCCTTACAAAACGATTTATTTCAGGGAAAGTGAAAGTCAGTGAGACTAGAATTCTGACCTGAGTTTGGAAAAGGTAAACCTAGCACTTCCAAATACAGCCTTTGGCTTATCATTATCTTACCTGCTTTAAAAAATCATGTCTCAGGAACATCATTAAAGAATTCTAGAAAGAAAACCTGCATTTGACCCAGCAGTCTTGACTAGGGTATAATGCATTTAAGTGATGAGAACCTTTTACTTTACCTGGTACTCTTCATAGGTGGTAATGTAATGTGTATAGACATTGCATAGACCTGAAATAACAACAGTCATATTCTGCATTCCATAAGTTGCAAATTCCTGGAGGGAGGAAAGTAAGGCCCATAAAATTACTCATCTTAAAGTATATTATCATCTCAGTTATAGTTAACATACAATCACAGATGTGAATCATTAGTGTAAGGTGTTTCTCTTAACAATATTCTTCCTCATGATCAAAACTCCCTGGGAATGCAGAGGTACCAAAGAGTCCTTGATAAAAAGTTAGGGTCATAACTCTGCACTGGGATTGGGCAAGGTAATGGATCCATGAATATCTTAATGATTGCATTTGCAGAAGTACAATCTTATTACTAAAATACAGATATTTTATCTATTTCTAAAAATATGTAATGGGAGGATATTAGCTAACCACAGTGGTGATTTGCAGCTCCACATAGCGAGACATTTGTTGATTACGTCATTTTTGAACCATTTACAATACTTCCTAAATATAAAGAAAATCATAAATATAGGTAAAACACAAAATTTCCAACATATGTTAGATTTATTTAGAAAGGACTTCAGATATTAAAGTACTTAGGTGTTATTTATGATTCAATTAAAAAATGATCAATTTTAAATTATTTATACATAAATACCAATAAAACATTTTTAACCTGACTTACATTTTTTAACCCTCTTTTACATTTTGTAGTTTGTTCTTAAACCACCAATATTTCATATTCACCTCTAGCCATTATTTTCAAGAAGTGTGAAACTCTAGTCATCTCAGCAAAGGTTAATTAAAAGGTATCAGATCATAGGGATAGGGAATTCTTTTATCTTCACCAAGTATAAATGCATAGATATTTTATTTCACTTTTAACTTACTGCTTGAACTGCCTCCCGAAATCTTCGTCCAGACATGGTCCTGAGTCAAGAACACAGAAATACCTAAGTGTCTCCTTTCCAGAATGTAGGCAAAATACATGGGAAGACTTGTAGTGAAAGCCAGAAAGTTACTCTGCTTCATCATGCAAGAGTAAAGTAGGTAGGAACTCTAATGAGAATGCAAAAGTTTCTTTCCTGTCTTACGTTCAAAACAAATCCTAAACTGAAAATAGGCAACTTGAAGGAGGGAAATAGAATCAATAAATATCACTGGCAAATGATCACAATAATTTTCTGTTACTGATTCAATAAAATATATTGATTACATCCTATGTTAATAAGAGCTGAGGCATGTAGAGAGTGCACTGCTCCTCTCCACAAAAAACTTTGCATTTCAGTCATTCACTTCATCCTTCAATAAAACACTGAGCCCCTACTATACACCAGGCCCATTTCTAAGTGCTAAGGATTCAACAGTATGGAGCTTACATTCTACAGAGGGAAGATGGTCAATAAGCAAATAAAGAGTGAGATGACAGTAAGTGCTCTGGGGAATACAAAGTAGGGTAAGGATGACAGGGAGCAGGGGGGCCACAGGAGAGATGGTGTTGGTGGTGACGGTAGCACTGATGCTGAAGTGTGGTGCTGGACGTGGTAGGGGGGGAAGACAATGGTATACAGCACAAGCCAGACTGGCATCTCTGTTAGAGATCTGAGCAGAGAATGGCAAGAATAAAAGAGCTGGCCATGGGGATAAGTGGAGGGTAAAAGTTTCAGGCTGAAGGAACAGTAAGTCCAAAGGCCCTAAGACAGAAGCCGGCTTGATAGTCTGGCATTAACAGTGAAGCCAAGGTGGTTGAAAGTGGAGTGAGAAAGGGGAAGATTGATAGGAAATCAGATCAGAGAAGCTGCTGAGAAGATCACATAGGGCCCAGGAGGATACTGCAAGGCTCTGAGGATGAACCTGGGGTTAGCTGGGAAGCCCCTGGGGGTTTTGAGCAGCGACATGATTTAACGTGCGTTTTATAGGGATTGCTGTGGCTGCAGTGTTGAGATAAGTGAGGGAGAAAGCAAGAAGGCAAGACAGGAGGTGACTGCAGCGATCTAGGGAGAGACAGCAGTGGCTTAGCCCAGGGCTGAGTGACAGACAATATTGGGTAGAATGTACAGAATTTGCTGAAGGACTGAAGGTGGGGAAAATTGAGTAAGAGAGAAGTCAAGGATGACTCCAAGATTTTGGGCCTGAGCAACTGGAAAGATACAAAATTGCTGCTTAATAGGGTAGGAAAGACTATACACAAATCAGCTCTGAAATACTCTTCAAGGCTTTTATACCTAAACTAACTGTTTCAAGTACCTGTATTTTAATATTTTTCAAGTCTTTCCACAAACATAATAATTCACTGCATTATAATAATTGGGAATGAGAAGCTTTCAAATGTTTATGTTTGCTTCAAGTTACCTACTAGTAATAGTCATAGATTTACTCTCCAGAGGCCCCACCACGAGGGTGGGACTCTTTGTCACTGCTGCCAAGCATAGTACAGTAAGAGACAAAGGAGTCAGTACAGAATCATTGCCCGTGATAAGAAGCGATTCCAACAGAGATACAGACATCATAATTACATTTTTAACTAAAAAAAAAAAAAAAAGAACTTACGTAAACTCCCCAGGGATGGCAGTTATGGCCACAGGCCCAAGGGTAATAATCTGAACATCAACAATATCTGGGTGCCAGGGATGAGGTTTGGACAACTAAGAACCCAAAATATGAAAGCTGTGTTAGGACTATTACTCTTTCTATGGCCGAGAGACAGATTATGCTCACAGAAGTTCCTTTATTAAAGGATTTTAAATGTTTCTAACTGTTTTTGGTGTTTTATCCTACTGACATAGATTTTCTTTCTCATTCTTGACATGGTATTAAATATTCTACCTGGTCATAACATATGACTCTGAACTGCCAGTGCCCCATTTACCCGGACTTAGATTCTCAACAATGAAATTTTTGGTGGATTTGTCATTGTGGAATCACAATGTGTAACAGATAACCAAGAGTTCTTCTAAAGTACCATGACTATCCTTATACAAAAGGAATAAGGAATTCCATTATTTGGAATAGCTTAATTTTAATGATTTCTCTTTTTACTCTAACAGCGCTCTCAATTTTCAGTTACCAAATCTTGCCTTACTTTCGAAGTTCTCTCCAAGAGAATCTATCCTTTTCCATACTCAGATTAGTGTACAGTCTTTCCCTCTATTTCTTCCTTTCCTCTCTTTCTTCTTCCTAAAGAAGTTTAACTGATTTATTAGGGAAAAAAAACCTTTAAAAAATTTTTTTCTACTTGAACAATTCATATTATGAACACTGGCATGACTTTCTGACATTTAGAGTGTGAAAATCCATATTCCGAAGGAGTAATAAAAGAATATTGCTGTGGCTAGTAATCTTGCCTCAGTTGTGCAAAAATTGAGATATGAATAAACATGTTCCATATTATACGACCTGAGATGTTTTTCTCTGCAGAGAATTCTGTATGAACTCCTGTCCTAGTCTACATAAGTGAATCCTAAATAAGACAAATATTATTCTTATTCTTCTTTTTCCACTGTTCTGCTTCAGATGTTTATCATAAATTCTAAGTGAGAATATATAATAATCATACCATTTATTCCTTGGATTTTGATTCCTAGCATCTGTCATTTTAATATTAAAAGTCTGATATGGGAATATCAGACTAAGACCTCCCATGTCAACAGAGAGATACAAGTCATAAATGACAAATCATAAATTTAAAAATAACAATATACTAATTTCACCATGATAATCAAAATGCATTACCTCTCCCGTATGAAGAAGGATTGGCTTTGGTTTCTGACATTCTTTGATTTCTTCAGATGGCTTGCCCAGGATCTGATCCCGAATAGTCTCCAAAAATGGACTCCCTACTGTTGTCCCTATTAGGAATGCTATGATTAATCTGATTCCAACCTTCTGAAAAGTGTTGAAATTTTGACAATGCTTTTAGGAGTGTCAGATATTTTATTAAGGTTGTTGTTCAACAATGCCAAACAGTTTGAATAATAGAAGAGATAAAACTTCTTGCGCATCCTAAAATAGGAGCCAATATTTAATTAGATACTCAGTGTGGCGGATAGAATAAAAGAATACATTTTGTTCAATATCCTTAAAGTTTTATTTCTATTGCCCTTCCTTATCCACATTGCAAATAAAAACAATGTGATATAATTAATTGTAGATCTGTAAACTTAAGTCACCTCTTTCCCACTTTAAAAACTAAAAATGACACCAACTTGAAGTACCAGTTGTTTGGCTTTTGGTCCCTGAAAGAGTCTTTGTTGAATCCCCACTTAATTATCTAAACATACACACACACACACACACACACACACACACACACACACACACACACACACAGAGTGAAAAACAAAAACCAAGCCGAAAATCCACAATCTGGGGGAAAGTTATATCAACTAGAAAATCTATAAATGTATAATCTCTAATTCCATTAGGAAAACATAATTATAAATATATGGACTTAATACATTAATCAGAACTGACAGAAATGAAGATGATCAACAATAATAATTCCAACTGTAGCAAATCACTTTCAATAATAAATAATAAATAATTCACAAGATCAACAGGGAAATAGAAAACTTAAACAACACTAGAAGCCACATAGACCTAACAGATACCTATACAGCACCCCATCCAACAGCATAATACATATCCTTCTCAAATGCATGTGGAACATTATTGAGGATAGACAATGTGCTGGCCATAAAACAAACCCGAATAAACTTCAAAGGATATAAATAATATAAAGTCTGATTTCTAACTGTAATGTAATGACATTAGAAGAAAGTAACAGAAGAAAATTTGGGAAACTCACAAATAAGTGGAGATTAAGCAACATCATCATAAACAGTGGATGGTAAAGGAAGAAATCAAAATAAAATATTAAACTACATTCAGATCAATGCAAATGAAGATACCAAAATTTATGGGATACAATGAAGGTAGTTCTCAGAGGGAATTTATAGCCTTCAATGCTCATATTAATAAAGAAGGGGGAGTGACATCAGTAAGATGGCAGGGTAGAAAATACCAGCCTTCATTCCTCCAACAAAAAAACAACAATTAGACAGTTACCCACAAATGAAAAGAGCCCACAAGAGGGCTCAAGAATCCAATTCAAAATCTACAGCAACACTGTAGAGGAAAAAAATGCCAGAATAACCACAAAGAAAGGATCACTGGGGAGATTAACTTAGCTGGGATATCTCAAGACAGCTAGCAACAAAGAGGAAAGGCAGACACTATCGGTACCAGCCACACAGCCAGTGTCACCACCGTCCCCAGCAGCCCTGCATGGCAGCCTCCCTGCAGTCTCCATGGTGGAGAACCCTGTATGTTTGCTAGCACAGACCCTGGCAGCCTGCTCCACAGAGCAATCAGCAGCTTTTGTGACTGAGGTGGCCAGTGGCCGCTGCCACCACAGACCCCTTGCAGAGAGACACTGCTGCTTTTCTTCCGTGAGCTGCTGCTGGTGCGCCCGCCACCTTGGGACCATGGCTAAATACCAGCCTTCATTCCTCCAACAAAAAAACAACAATTAGACAGTTACCCACAAATGAAAAGAGCCCACAAGAGGGCTCAAGAATACAATTCAAAATCTACAGCAACACTGTAGAGGAAAAAAATGCCAGAATAACCACAAAGAAAGGATCACTGGGGAGATTAACTTAGCTGGGATATCTCAAGACAGCTAGCAACAAAGAGGAAAGGCAGACACTATCGGTACCAGCCACACAGCCAGTGTCACCACCGTCCCCAGCAGCCCTGCATGGCAGCCTCCCTGCAGTCTCCATGGTGGAGAACCCTGTATGTTTGCTAGCACAGACCCTGGCAGCCTGCTCCACAGAGCAATCAGCAGCTTTTGTGACTGAGGTGGCCAGTGGCCGCTGCCACCACAGACCCCTTGCAGAGAGACACTGCTGCTTTTCTTCCGTGAGCTGCTGCTGGTGCGCCCGCCACCTTGGGACCATGGCTGTCAGCACCCACCCCTACCCCATGCCTCTGACCCCAGAGCCCTCAGCTGCTCCATGCACATCCATGTTTCAGCCCCCAGCTCTGTGGCCACACTGTGGATACCTGTGCTCCAGTCCCAGGATCTGCAGCACCTCAGCATGGACCTCCATCTCAGGCACTGGAGCCACCACTGCTGGGTGCTATCCATTGTCCTAGACCCCAGAGGCACTGTTCTCTGCAAATACATGGACTCCAGTCCCCCATTCCATGGCTGTTCCATGTGCCCAATGTCGTTAGGCACAGAACCACTATCACTACTGGCAAGTTGGTGCCCTGGCTCCTGGAGCTGCTCTTGCTGCATGGAACACCCACATTCCAGATATCAGGCCTGTCCCTGCTCCATGGGCACACGTTCATGCATGAGACAGCAGGGCCACCACCATTACACGGGCACCTGTGAGTCAAAGCTAGCACCACCGTCAGCCGAGAGAGCCCTCACAGGAGAGGGCTGAGCAGGAGAAAAGGAGATCAGGTGGTTCCTGAAGCCTTCACCAGTGAAGATCCCAAAGATCCCGTGGCCCCTGTAACCTTGGCCTTTGAGGACACGCACAGTCTTCACCTATGGTGGCAAAGCTGCACGGAGACCATGCTACCTGGCCTGCCCTGTAGCTGGAACTGCGGCAGCTCACCCAGCCAATGTCCCTGCTCCCACCCATAGATGAAACCCGGTTGTAAAGCTGGAAGAGATCAGTGTTCTATCAACTGCAGACAGAATTCAAGGCTATTAGAGCCAACAACAATCAAGGGACAAACTGTATAGGAAGGGGACCTGGGACCACATGCTTTAGGCTCCTAAAAGCTTCTGCCCTGAGGAACCTTGGCTTCAATAAAGGAATTAGGAAAGAAACACTAATAACCAGATAGGAGAGCCAGCTCATAGTGTGGAAGGTACAGTGACAACCCCACCCTGCACTGTCCCCCAACTCTCCCCAGCCCCAGACCAATTTAACATTATTTGTACACCTACTGAAATGAAAAGAGAAGTTGTCTCCGATTCTGTTCAAATCACTAGAAAGCTAAGTTGCAAAGGACACTTATCCCTGGGAAATCTAGCTGCCCTATAAATCTGGAAAACCACCACACCACCAAGATTAAAAATAAAAATAGTGAAGTATTGGCTGCATCCAAACCCTTTGGAACCCTGAAGCTTCAGAACCCAGAGCCACAGATTTCATCAGATGGCACCTTACCCTGTGTAAAATTGAGGGTCCCAAATCCGTCAATTGTGCCAGCTGCAAAACTGTAGCCCAGTGCTGGTTTACACGTTTTTGCCTTAAGGAAAGATTTTAAACAAAAACCAGAAGTTGAACTTAAAGAAAATAATGAGATCAGCCCACAGCTTTACCCAGTATGACTCAGAAACACTTACGGTGTGTGTAGAATTGATCCAAATGGTGACATCTGTCATATTAACCCACTGATGAGCTGAAGCCAGTGGTCCGGTTACCTCCTGGGAGGCAGAGGCATATAGTTCCTAGAAAACCCACCCAGGTTTACTGTTATGAGCAAAAAAGTGAAAATAAACAGTACCAATTGTACCCAATATGTACCAATTTGGAATAGCATCTCTCAGCCAAGTTTTGTTTTGCTGGCTGCTTAGAAATAGCCTCTGCACACATGGATCTCTCTACCAACCACAGCAGCCTCCCAGAAGCTTGAGACTATTGACCTGTGTGTCTAGTCCCTACAAATATGAAATTCTAGTGATACAGGCTGTGGCACAAAAAGGTCCCAATCTCACTCAAAAGACAGTCAAGAAAATTTAAGATTAGGAGTAGATGGCCCAAATTAATGTCTGTGCCCGAATGAGACTATACCCTTGGGCATTCTCACGGAGTTTCCCCCCCCCCCAAATCCTAGGGCCTTCTGGCAGAGTGTGTGCCAAAGGGTGGCTTGAAAGACTTCAATCTCCATTTATCTGTTGCAGCTGCCCCACCCACACCCACACTTTGTTTTTTGTTAATATGGTCAATTGATACTTTTTCAATTTTATAGGAACTGTGAGCCAAAATGTGTTTAAAAATGTTTGTTTTTATTGTATCATAGCTACAGGCAAATCCTGCTCAAGTCCCTTTGCCTGACACCTAACCATTTCCACTCTATCTCTAGTTTCAACAGCCACAAGGGAGCTCTTAAGATAAGTCGTCAGTAACACCAGCTGCAAACTGCCTTCCCTGCTGAAAACGGAAGTTGTACCCTGACAAGAAGGGAATCCAGAATGTGGGACAAATCTCTATGGCTCGCAGGCCTAGAATGGTACAAAATTTCTGACACCAAACTGTGTCATGGGTGCACACCCTAAATAGAATCTGTTAACTTAGAACAATCCACTGATAATACCACAGTAATTAAAAAGAAACTGCAGCAATTAGGCTGGCTGGTATCTGATGTTTTTAAGGGTGCTTTTGTTCTTTCTTAATTGCTCCTGAAACATTTTAGAGCCCTTGGAAAAAATATTTAACACACACACACACACACACACACACACACAAAGGCATGCAGCAAAGGTCTGAGTAAGCTATAAAAAGAAGGGATTTAACTATCTTTATCAGAGATATCCCAACTCCAGGTCATCTTTCATCTGTTCAATCAGAAATCTGTCTCCACAGGAGCTGGTGCAAAATACAGGGGGAAAATGGAAGGTAAAATTTAGGAAAGGAAGGAGGGTGAGTAACTCATAGTAATCTCTGGGACACAAGATTCTCTCCTCCTCAGAAAACATTTTAAAAAGAAAAGAAAAAATATAAGATGGATGATCTTTGCCATTAAGAAGAAATGTAGGAACTAATTTGAATCTAAATTGCAAGAGCCAGGAGTTGTGCTCAGCTTTGCCTTGTCACTGAAGGAAAAGCTTAGAAATGGTCAGGTGACAGCAGGCAAAGGCCTGAGATGACTTCCAAGAATTTGAATCAGTCCGGTCCTATCTGACAACCATGTTAATTGAAAACCTCACAATCCATTATCCCACTGTCCAAGGCAAGCCCTCCGGATTACTTGGTTTTAAAGGCACTTCCTTTATGAAGTCAAACCAAGCAGTCAGAGAGACACCCCTGTGTGGCCTGTGAAAGCCACCTTCCTAACTGAACGTGAACAGCATTCAGTCCTCCAGACTTGAGCTCTTGCTGCTCTTACAGTAATTGTAAAGCATCACTGTAAAGGACAGTGTGTCTGGGTTTTAAAGGACAATTTTAAATGAAGATGAAAGAGGTTGGGCCACAGCTTACCTTTGCTCTCTGATAAATGGTCTGCCCTATAATCTGTGCGCTGTCAACCATATCCCGTCCAGGCCCCATAGCAATACACGTGCTACCCTGGAAAATGAGACAAGATGTGTTCTTAAAGAAATAAGTAGTTAGCTTAAGGAATGCAAAATTACACGTGAGTCTAAGCAAATGTACTTTTAAAGTCTCATTCTAGCATTTCTTTTCAGATATTTTCTCAGATTATAAAAAACAGATATACACGAAATGGAGCAGTGAATATCTTTAGAAATCATCTATTCTGGCACCTTACTTTTAAAAATAAGGAATCTGAGGCTCAGATGGGTTAGAGGATTTGTCAGAGATTGTATAGATAGATAATATCTGAGCTAAAACCTAGGCCAGCTCTCCATTTGCTGCACATCTTTTTGTTTGCTGGTTCCTGCCTATAGCTCTCACTCATGACCGCCTTAAATGGACACTAAGTTAAAATTATATTGGGACAACTAGCTGACCTTCTAGGAAAAAAATCATTAAATAAATTTGGCTCTATACTTTTTTCATCAGAAAGGTTTGAGAGGGATTATATACTTAAATATTATGAATGAAACCAAAAAAGAAAATACTAATGAATATATTTTTAATACTGAAGGGTGTGGAAATACCCTTCTAAAAATTATGTAGGACAGGCTTAATAAATCTGACAACTTAAACATTTTGAACACCCAGGTACAGAAAACCAACACATAAGTAAGGATAAAAAACAACTGATAACTGAGGTGAAGGGGGACCCTGTACTGTTTATGGAAAATGATTTTAATATGTTAGGAGCTGTAATATTTTAGGAGCTTAAAAAAGTCAATAAGAAAAAAAATCTTTATGACCTTTGGATTCATCCATATTGATTTGGGTTTTCTCTTATTTGCAGTGAAAGCATTCTATGTGTGTCTCAAAGAATCGTCACACTGTACACTTTTTAAATTATACATTTATATGTCAATTGTATCTCAACAAAACTAGAAAAAAAGAAAAGAAAAGAAAAAAAGCACCCTAATGGATACACAATAGAATACAGATGAAATAGGTAATTCACAAAAAAAGAAATGCAAGTGGTCAGTCAACATTAAAATATCTTTAAGCTCATGAATAATTAAATGTAAGTCTAAATTACAAAGAGAGAACTACATGTTATGTTGACAAAAACTGAAGATTGAGAAACCTGGTGTCCCTGAGAGTTTAGAAAAACTGTGTCCCGTGTCCTGAGGGAGGAAATGTGAGTGGCACCTCTAGGCAATGTGCAGTTTAAGTTAGATGCACTTTCTCTCTGACAGCAAACTCACTGGTAAGAATTTGTCCTAAGGTGAAACTCATACACAGATGAAAATATGCACAGTGGCCACAGAAGGCAAAGGAAGGGAAAAAAAGAAAGGAGAGAAGGCGCGAAGGACAAAAGAAGGGAGGGAAGAAAACACTCATCAGTAGGGGATTAGTTAACTGAATTACAGTACTTAAAATTGAAAATTACTGAGTTAACTTGATGCTTTGAAGTATATTTACTAGAAATAAGGAAGCAGGTTCTAGAAGGGCATTACAATATGATCCCATTGAGGTAAATTGCATGTGCATGGATGTGCATGGATGCATAGAAAGGTATTTGAAACAATGTTCATTAAAATTTGAACAGGTTAACTGTGGGGTGAGGAGGTGCCCCTTTACATGTTTTGTTTTAGGAACTTTTCAATATTATCTGAATTTTTAACAAGCATAGATCATTTTTGAAGAAAATACCATGAAAGGTATTTTCTAAATTAGAAAACAATTTTGTTAAGAAACCACAATGAAGCAGAAGACATGGCAACATCACCCATTTACCTTCCCCTTTCTAAGTGAATCCTGATTTTGAGAAAGCCATCTCTCTCCTTGCAGTCAATGATCCCACTCCTAATTCCAATAAGTCTAAGGCAATCAAGTTAATTCCTTGTGCCCTGCCAAAGATTGGTCAGGAACCCCAGTTTAAGTCAATCAACGTGTGCTATTTCCCCAGCAACTGCTACGGTCCAGGGATAGATATGAGACAGAAATGGAACCAATCAGACTGAAAAGAATTTTTAATCCATGGTTAGAGAAACTTGCTCTCTCCTCTGTAAATGGGGAAAAAAGCCATACAGCTTCTTCACTGCTGACCACCACCTTGCAAATATGAGGAAAGCCAACACATGGAGAATAATAGAGAGAAACAGAATTCTGTTGTGGGTGGGGGTATGATTTTGTTGTAATGTTTTCTGTTTATGAAGTAAAGTAAGCTCACTGTAGAAAATATGCAAAAAAAATGTATAAATAGAATTAAATAATAAAAAGCACTTAAAATACTGCCAAAAAGAGCAAACCATGGTTAACAGTGTGTTTCACTTTGTTTTCTTATTGCATTTATTTTCAAAACTGCAATCATAATGAATACTCAATATTAAAGCCTAATTTTCTTAGTTAACACTGTGTATTATGAACTTGGTCCAACCTTAAGTATTCCAACATAAGACATTAAGATGGTGTAGAATATTCTATCACAAATAAGTATCATAACTTGTTTAACCATTTCATTTATGAATTTTGGAATTTGAAGTCATCTTAAAATCTAATGTGAAGTAATAATGTGTGAAAATTTTGCAAATGAAGGGTAACGAAGGTTTTATATATAATAGAAACGTATAATTGTGAAAACTATATTGCTCATTGGGTGGGGGTGATTGGAATCAGTAGCCCAGACAATAGTGTTTAGTAAGTGTAATATCACAGGTGAAATGTTCTATAAACACAACGAATTAAAAACCCACAAACTAGTATCTGCTGTTCATGTCAAAGTTGAAACAATATAAATGAAAATGGGGGGCAGGAGGCAGTTCAATAAATAACAGTACAACCCTACTTGTTCTCTTTAAAACTTACCACACAGACCTACATATGTTCCTAAAAGATTTCCAAGCCAATTTAGTCAAACTCCAAACCAATAAAAAAAATCAACAAAGTTAAAAAATTTTATTTATGAGTGCATAGACAAATTGGAAGAGGTGTGAGAGTAGTAACTTCCGGAAAGGAGAGAGGGCAGGGCGGGTGGGGAGGCAAGCAGGGACTTTCGCTTTTCATTGCTTCTACGCTTCCCATGTTTGAGCTTTTACAGCATGTTGTTTTTGTTTGTAGTTTTATAAGAAAAGAAAAAGAGTTTTGACCTTTGCATTATTTAAAGACCCTATAGACTCTATAATCAGTGAGAAATGTTTCAGGCAGGCAGTTTTTGAACTAACATGTGATGTCAGAAATGCCAAGGCAAAATGTTTTAGACTGTCCAAGTTTAGGGAAGGGTATTTAATCTCTGATACTTACTGAACTGTCTCACCATTCAAAACACTTAACAGTCAATCAGATGGAACACTCTAATTTCACCCAATCAAAATTTAGTGGATGCTTTTGAGAAGAGCAAATGCTAGCAATAATAGGCTAATATATACCTGAGGAAGGCATAATTGTAAATTAATGGTGACTCTTTAAACAGAAAATGTACACAAGATGCAAAACAAAGAATCCATATAATAATTACCTACCCCACCAATGGGGCAAGAGCTATTGGCATTATCACAAGATTCTCCAGTGTTGATGCAATGTGGGCCAAGAATATTGGGGGACACATCTCCCAGGTTTGATGAAGCAAATGCTGCTACATATGGTCCCTGCCAAAAGAAACACCCAATTGCATTTTATTCTTATTTCCCATAATGACTTTCATTAAAAATGCAAACATTCAGTCCATTCTGGTGAACTATTCAAATTCACATTCATGCAATACATGAGATATACAATATTCTGAGAATGTTTTATTTCTGAAAAGGCTCACATTGCAGTCAGCATACATATTACTATTCATGATATTTCAATTATCAGTAAAGCTGTTTCAAGAAGGAGAGTTTCTAATTTGTGCCTCAGACAGAAACATTTCGACAAGAAACAGCATGCGACAACAAATTATAAAATGCTGACCAATCAATCTAGTCTTTGGTATGGTAACTGGGGCTCAGAGATCCATGTTTCCTTTTAAAATAAATGTATCTTATTGGCTCAAAAAGAAAAGAGCCAATCCAGATTTTCCTGTTGCAAAGCTGAACCTAAATATACCACCCACCATCCAGACCGGCCCTCTGCATTTTCTCCATTTCTTTATCCTAAAGTAACAACACAAAACCCTTTAGACTGGTACAAGACCTTAACATGAACCCAACTGGTCTGCCATTCCACAATAAATGTCCTACATTTTCTTAGGGAAAGAGATAAGCAAGTATTAGAGATCATTTCTTGTTTTATACCAGAAAGATCATTTAACTCAAACTAGCATCTAGCCAGTGATGATAAATGGGAACATCCTTTCTTTTCCCTAACATAGAGGCTAAAATGAAAAAAAATGGAGAAATTTTTGTTAACAAAGGAGCTGAAACATCAGACTGAATGTTCATGGGGCTAATATTTTTTAAAACAGAACATTCATTCTAGGCAGAGTCCTAGGGCTTTCATCCCATCGCATATTCTTCTGCATCTGGGGCTCGGACACTGGGATCAAGCACAGCAGGATCCCTCCTTGCCATTTATCTATCTGTATTCGATACTTTATATAGAGGTGAGGAGCTTCCTGGAGTATGTGAACTGGTTCCTGGCTTCCCATCTCTAATCCCACCACTCACTATTTCAAAATTTAAATAAAAAAAAAAGCCTTAGGTCTTATTGCAGGAAAATGGAACAGAGTCCTTGAAGAGAAATTCATCATTAAAAGGAAAGTCTTCACCATTGAAAAGAACTTATCACCTGTCCTCATTCAGGTTCTTACATCATTAAGAAGGTGCTTAATATTTTTATAGCTCTGAAAACAACAGATAACATCAACACAGTTTGTCGTACTTCCCAGTTGATCAAAAATTATTTTATATTGCAAATATCTTGAACTTGCCCTTCCTTCCCAATGAATTGTAACTTTATGAAGTATTTGACACAAAGTGTACTAGTCATTTCAAATTTTTCCTTCCCTAAGAGGAAAGATGGAGAATTTCTCTTATCCAAGTATATTGGTATGTGATGCCATGATGATTCTTTAATCTGAAGATTTGAGCCAACGATCCTGAATATTGCATGAATGATGAAGTCAATGACTTAAGCTGAAGCTTTTGATGACATACGCTCTCACCTGTCCAGGTAGATATCCTTTGTTCTTCTCTTGCTCAAAAAGGTAAGATGCATAGCCCATATTGTCACTATTTACAAGGTGGTTGCTGTTGTTCATGCTGACTGGGTGGATGGCAAACCAGCTGTAAAAGAGCAAGAAGCGTTGAGTAAAAAAAAAAAAAAAANAGTCTGTTCATTTACTTAAACAAACAAAACTTAATTTTTAGGAATATTTCATCATTGTCATCTTCATCATAAGTTTTTAACAAGACTGGCCAGTTACCAGATAATAGATCTAAAGAATTGTATATAGACATAGACATTGTCTTTCAAGACAGGCACACACATAATTATTCAGATCAATCTTATCCAACTCAGAAGACATTTACTGAGAGTCTGCTATGTGCCAAGCATTAAACAGATTGCAGTTTACCCTCAGAATCTTGCAGAAGACAAAGATGTGAACAAATGGCTTTACTACAGGGTAACAAATGTTATAAAGAAATAGGCATTAAGTGTTTGGGGAGCACAGAGGACTAGCAACTAACTCTTAAGGGCATCCTTGGGAGAGAAAACAGCAGAGTAAATGCATGGAGGTGTGAAAGACGAAGCTATGCATAATTCAGTATATCCTTATGCATAGTAATACCTTGTTTAAGTGTAGAACTGTATAGTTTACAAACTAATTTCACATCTGTTGCCTTATTTGAACATCACAACAACCCTGAGAGAAAAGTTGTTATTACCTCCATTCTGCAAGGTGTCTCAGAAAAGCAAACTGGTGACCCACTTGTCATAGAGGATCAAGACCAAAGTTTGGATCTTGTGATACCTTAACGAGTCGCCTTTCTGGCATCAAACCTCCATACAGGTGATGAAGACATTTACAGAATGGAAGGCTATAAAGTAGATCAACTAGAATACCCAAGAAAAGAGAGATGTCAGTTCATAAAGTTTCAGTTTCAAGATTTTTAAAAAAGTTTTGTTGATTTAACTCTTGAAACTTCCTAAACATTTCAGCTTATGTTCCTACTTGAATACTGTAGTGCACAAAACATTTACTTAATAACTAGAGATGTTTGGGGAATTCAAGGTGGTCATCATTCAAGATTCAGTTCTCATTGCCCAACCAATGGATGTGTAGGTTGGAGGCCATCCAGAACCATGCCCATGGGGGTTGGGTAGGCACAATAAATGAGTTAACTGGTTGGTGCAATAGAGACTAGTGTGGACTGTGGAGAGTTAGAGGCATTTGCACAATCTAAAGACTGCATCCTCTGCTGTGCTACAGCCAAATGTGGCCTCATGTGAGTATAAGCTAGGTTGGCCAGATCTTCCACAAATCCATGTTTTCATGAAATAGTTTCTGATTTAAAAATTCTTAAATAAATAATGGCAAGGAAAAAAGGAGGGAGCTGTTACAAATTAAAAGACTTAACATACCTACCCAACAAATACAGTGTGTGGACTATGCTTGGATTTGTATTCAAAGAAAACAGCTGTAAAAAGACTTCATTGATATAATCAGGAAAAACTGAACACAGAGTTTTAGACCACATAAGAAATTATTTTTAATTTTGTGGGTTGTGATAATGGATTGTAATTAAATTTTAAGTTTTTATATGGTAGAGATACATACCGAAATATTTAGAAATGAAATCATATGCTATCTGGTATCTGCTTTTAAATATTATAGCAAAACAAACAAAAAAGGGAAGGAGAGTTTGTGAAACAGAATGGCAGAGTATTGCTAATTATTTAAGCTGGATAATATTTACATGGAGATACATTAGACTAGTCACTCTAAATTGTTACATATTTGAGAATTTCCACGATAGTTTTTTTTTTAATGCTGACTTTCACTTTGAACTTTTTAGAAGAGTGTTAGGCTAGATCACCAGTTTGCAAGCTGAATTCAACCCCCACAGTGCATATTGGCCACCATGCAAAGGTAGAGTTTAGTCTGAAGGTAGTTCTAAGGTCATATAGAAGTTATTTGCAAGGTGCCCATAATTTTAAAAACCCTTATGTTACTTTCTTTTTTGTAGTTTGCCTCTTTCTCCTCAGATGCCAAGGAGAAATTCTAGTCAATTAGTGTTTGCTGGTTAATTGGAGGCTTTTTGTAGTTTTATCCCATTTAGTTTGGAAGGAAAATGGGATGGTGGCCATAATTCTGTAGCTTTCTGGCCCAAATATCAATGTGACGGCACTGAGGTCAGTCAGTGTCAGACAGACTGCAGCCTCTGCAGTGTGATCAGAGGAACCCAGTAGGACAGTTCTGTCACCACCGACTGTCATGTAGAGAACTGAGTAGGTAAAGGATGTTGTTTACAGTTCTCATTGCCCAACGAATGGATGTGTAGGTCTTTATTCTCACAAGAACCCTCTGAGTGGGATGCTATTATTATCCTCATAATAGGAAACAAAGTCTCAGAATGATAAAGTAAACTGACCACGGTTACACAGTTCTAAGTCAAGAAGCAGGGCTATGAATCCAGGTTTGCCAGACCAGAAAGCCCAAGTTCTTACCTGCTATGGGATACTGGCTCTGTCCCTTTTGATCACTCACTTGCTCATTCAATACATATTTTTTACTTTGACTCTGTGCCAGGCTTTAGGGACAGAAATGAATGAGGTGTCATCTTGACCTTGAGAAATGCTTCAAAGAAGATGTGACATTTGAGCTGCGTCTTAAGAGATAAGTAGGAAGTGGTAAGGAGATCAGTGGAGAAAAGTCTCCCACAGCAAAGGACAGAGCTGGGAAGGGGTGAAGTGTGTTCAGAAAATGAATAGCAGGGAGTGCAGAGCACAGTGGATAAGGGCAAGGAGAGATGGTGGTTGTTCCAGCCAATCAATCAACAACGATTTACTAGCAGCCCAGTGTGTGGCTGGCATTGTATTAAACTCCAAGGAACACAGACAGAATCAGATGTGTTCTCTACCATCAAGGATTCATGATAACATCTGTGGAGAAAGCAAATGCTAAGAACTCTGGTCTACTAATTAGACTACAAACTTGAATTCTTATTTATGTCATTTATTTATTTTCATTATTTTAGGCCTTAGAAAATGAATTGAACTTTTCTTCCACAAAACTGAAAAAAAAGTATTACAAAAAATTTAAAAGAGGACAAAAAAGAAATAAAAGTTTAAAAAAGTGGATAAAGAAGTACCAAAAAAAAGCTACTTGAATTTCAGAATAATAGATGCTTCATTTTTCTGCCTCTACCTTTTGAAGTATGTGCTATTAAAATATCAGCTTGTCCAAAGACCCCACCAAAAAAGAAAATTACAGACCAATATCCCTGATGAACATAGATGCAAAAATACTCAACAAAATATTAGCAAACTGAATTCAAAAATACATCAAAAGAATCATACACCATGACCAAGTGAGATTCATCTTAGGGATGCAAGGATGGTACAACATTCGAAAATCCATCCACATCATCCACCACATCAACAAAAAGAAGGACAAAAACCACATGATCATCTCCATAGATGCTGAAAAAGCATTTGACAAAATTCAACATCCATTCATGATAAAAACTCTCAACAAAATGGGTATAGAGGGCAAGTACCACAATATGATAAAGGCCATATATGATAAACCCACAGCTAACATCATACTGAACAGCGAGAGGCTGAAAGCTTTTCCTCTAATATCGGGAACAAGACAGGGATGCCCACTCTCCCCACTGTTATTTAACATAGTACTGGAGGTCCTAGCCACGGCAATCAGACAAAACAAAGAAATACAAGGAATCCAGATTGGTAAAGAAGAAGTTAAACTGTCACTATTTGCAGATGACATGATATTGTACATAAAAAACCCTAAAGACTCCACTCCAAAACTACTAGAACTGATATCGGAATACAGCAAAGTTGCAGGATACAAAATTAACACACAGAAATCTGTAGCTTTCCTATACACTAACAATGAATCAATAGAAAGAGAAATCAGGAAAACAATTCCATTCACCATTGCATCAAAAAGAATAAAATACCTAGGAATAAACCTAACCAAGGAAGTGAAAGACTTATACTCTGAAAACTACAAGTCACTCTTAAGAGAAATTAAAGGGGACACTAATAAATGGAAACTCATCCCATGCTCATGGCTAGGAAGAATTAATATCGTCAAAATGGCCATCCTGCCCAAAGCAATATACAGATTTGATGCAATCCCTCTCAAATTACCAGCAACATTCTTCAATGAATTGGAACAAATAATTCAAAAATTCATATGGAAACACCAAAGACCCCGAATAGCCAAAGCAATCCTGAAAAAGAAGAATAAAGTAGGGGGGATCTCACTCCCCAACTTCAAGCTCTACTACAAAGCCATAGTAATCAAGACAATTTGGTACTGGCACAAGAACAGAGCCACAGACCAGTGGAACAGATTAGAGACCCCAGAAATTAACCCAAACATATATGGTCAATTAATATTTGATAAAGGAGCCATGGACATACAATGGCAAAATGACAGTCTCTTCAACAGATGGTGCTGGCAAAACTGGACAGCTACATGTAGGAGAATGAAACTGGACCATTGTCTAACCCCATATACAAAGGTAAACTCAAAATGGATCAAAGACCTGAATGTAAGTCATGAAACCATTAAACTCTTGGAAAAAAACATAGGCAAAAACCTCTTAGACATAAACATGAGTGATCTCTTCTTGAACATATCTCCCCGGGCAAGGAAAACAACAGCAAAAATGAGCAAGTGGGACTACATTAAGCTGAAAAGCTTCTGTACAGCGAAAGACACCATCAATAGAACAAAAAGGAACCCTACAGTATGGGAGAATATATTTGAAAATGACAGATCTGATAAAGGCTTGACGTCCAGAATATATAAAGAGCTCACACGCCTCAACAAACAAAAAACAAATAACCCAATTAAAAAATGGGCAGAGGAACTGAACAGACAGTTCTCCAAAAAAGAAATACAGATGGCCAAGAGACACATGAAAAGATGCTCCACATCGCTAATTATCAGAGAAATGCAAATTAAAACTACAATGAGGTATCACCTCACACCAGTAAGGATAGCTGCCATCCAAAAGACAAACAACAACAAATGTTGGCGAGGCTGTGGAGAAAGGGGAACCCTCCTACACTGCTGGTGGGAATG